CATCCTTTACTTAGTTTTTAGTGAAATCATTCGAAGAGTACCTAAATCTTATCTTCCGGTTAGTGAAGTAGGAATTCATGAATTTTATTATTGATGCTGGTATATTAACTTCATAGAGTCTTTTTTATCACCATTGGCCACCAAGTATTGTCAAAAGCTCCACTAATATCTATTGCAATTATTGCCGTATTTATTTATTCATATTATATTTTAACCCCTATTTAATGTTAGTTCACGTGAAGAAATTGATAACATATGATTTACATTAACAGATGATATATGCCTCAACTCAAGAGAGAGAGAGAGAGAGAAATATTGTTAAAACCCAGGTTCCTGGAGCGCAGAGGGCCAACTACCCGGCGAGTCCAGCTCACTAATATGGACTAGTTTTGAGCACTTTTACTCGTGCCCTGTTTTGATTGCCGAGTTAAACCAGTTGACCAGGCAGTTTCATGCTAAGTTTGAGTGTGGGCGAAATAACGATTATTTCTAACCTTAGGGATGAAGTATGAGAGGATGAATTGTGAAGGTTTGAGTGTGGGAGCTGGCCATGGATGTAGGAATGAGTTGGGTAAGCCCAAATAGGCTAGCTGTTTGCATTCTATGTCTCAGGAATGCTAGACAGATGAAGAGAAGATGATCATTTGATGTAGGAATAAGGTGGGTATGCCCAAATAGGTTAGCTCTTTGTATTCTATGTCTCAGGAATGCTGGACAGATGAAGAGAAGATGATCATTTATCTCTGGCTCTTCTGAACAGTGGATGCAGGTAGGGTCTGTTTCGGGATGCTCATGTGTATTGTCTGCCAATCCTAGCATTGGTCTGTGAAGATGGCGTTGGTGGGCTCTACATGGCGGAAATTTGGTAGAAATATGATGAGATGGCTTGGATTGGAAGCCATTCTCCTGAGGGATCTAGTAGAATGGTCTTGGGAATATAATACAGTCCATGATGATAGAGCAGCTTTACGTGTTAGGGTTCAAGCATGAGTTCGAGGCAGTGTGGAGTATGAGTGCGGTAGTACAGAAGTAGAGACAAATTTTGCTGCACAGTCTACTAGTTCATTGCCGTTGAATCCAATGTGTCTGCGTACCCAACACAGGCTGTTGAGAGGAGCTCTGCTGAGGACCTTTATTATTTTCGCCTCTAGAGATGTGCGCATTGGTACTGTGGAGCAAATAGCTGCTAAAGCCTATCTATAGTCCCACTTTGAACTCAAAGCCCAATCTTCTGTCAGGTCTTATTTTGCTGTTTTCCCAGCAGAACGGCGATATTTTTTCGGTTTAATATCCATGACTGATCGTATGAGGCGTTCCTCCCATATGGACCGAAATAGACCATTCCAATGATCGCAAACTGCCTACATTGCGGCTCTAGTCTGAACTTTGGTAGTCATATTGAGTCATGCGGAGTTATTTTTCATTTTGTTTGACACACTGCAGATTTTCCAAGAACTCGTGACCATTAAATTGAAATGAATTGATTTTTAAAATAAAATATCAAGTGAATAGACAGGGTTGAGTCATATTTACAATGATAAAATACTTCGAGAAGAACAGTAGTGCATAGTTAATACTGTAGAGCCCCCCTTCCTTAAAAGACTGACTGAAATTGTGACGGTTAAATTGACTTCTCTGAGAGGTGGTCTCATCAATTTCTTTCATGCTAGCCAGAATCTTTGATGAGAGACACCTCAAAGAGAGATGATTTTAGTCAAATATTTAGGTGGTCTTTCTTGGTATCTTCTATTTATATATATACTAGACGGGTGACCCGGACTTCGCCCCGGTATTGACCCGTGTGCATATCTACCCAAGTAATATATATTTTGAAAAGATTTTTTTAATAATTGTTTGTTATTAAGACTTTTCTATTTGTTTGCATCAGCATAATTTAATCTAAATTGTACTGAAATAAAAATATCCACTTTTATTTAATTTGAATTTGCCTATCGTTTTCCTTGTATTTTTTGTACATATGTATTAAAATATAGGTTAGAATTAGTGAACTCCTAGAAATTTGTATACCGGACATACATTCACTTTTAGACATAATAGCAGATTGACCTGGGAAATGCTCGGGATTTACCCGAGTGCTTATCTGCCTCAGTGAATATATATTTGGTTAGAGCATTCCTCGGGCATTGCCTGGGTCACTCTGCTAGTATATAATATGGGGAAAGCGAACACCGAAAAAAAGATAAAGCGGACAGAACATTGCAACAATATTTACTAAGATATATATCAGCATTATAAATTAATATGTAAGCATTACTTGGTATACTTGATTACTGCGCATGCTAAAATTTAAGCAATGGCTTCTGCAATTTTATAAAACCTGTCTATGAACAATATTTTTAGTTTTTCCATCTTTACAATATATGTACAAATGATTTGGTGAGCCAACTCTTGAGCATGCTACATATAACTGCCCATGGGAAAAACATGGAGATTCAAGATTGACACCACAACACTTGAGGGATTGCCCCTGGGCCTTGTGGCAACTGTACAGAGAATTGCAAGCGTTTAAAAAGAAAAGGAAAGTCATTTGGTATCATTTTTTCTAACAACCTTTTTGAAAAGGGTTTCTAAATATATATATGTCATAATATATGCTCTTCCAGGAATAATAAAGTAAATCTGCAGTCGACCAGAGAGAGACGTAGTCGATAGAACGGCAGCTAAAGTACGGACATTTGGGACACCAACGGTCACATTCCAAAGGGGAGGAAAAAGGGGGGCGCCCGTCAACACCTGGACAGTAGTCGGGTGTGGCCACACAGGCAGTCGTTCAGCGGACAGCTCTCTAGCTACCTCTCTCTCTCTCGGATGGCTTCCAGATTCCTCTTCCAACTCGTCGTGTGATTATTTCTCACCTCACCACATCATTACCACTATATTGTCACATATATATATTTGAAACATGGAAATAAAAATAGAGTGAACACAAATAAAACATACCAAATATTTCGAATTAGAGCAGTTATTATAAACGGCGAATTTGAAAATATATAAATCTTCAAATCGAGCGAGCGTCTATAAATATTTCGATTTAATTTTTCAAACGACCTTTTTGAAAAGGGTTTTTAAATATATATATTTGAAACATGGAAATTATATTACTTTAAATAAATAAAAATAGGGTGCAAAAATAAAACATGCCAAATATATCAAACTAGACGAATGGCCCGGGCAACGCCCGGGTTTTACCCGAGTGCGTATATATTTTAAAAACGTTTTAATTCAAATACTATTCGTTACAATTATAAATTGGCGCCATGGATGTCACTCTTGTGAAACGTCCCGTTCCAAACTGTGTGTTTTTGAATGTTTTAATTAAAATACTATTCGTTACAATTATAAATTGGCGCCGTGGATGTCTCTCTTGTGAAACGTCCCGCCCCAAACTGTGTGTGTCTTGAAAATATAAAAATAAAAATGTGAATTTTCATAAAGATTTCATCATGTCGATTTTTTTTTTTTTGCATTTCACCTACTAAATCGATAGAGATAATTAGATTTGCAACATGAACTTAGGTATATTGACTAAATAGAAAACTGCATAGTAATAAAGATCATTTTTTAAAGGCACCATATCGTTTTTTTTTAATAAAATCGAAACAAAAATTAACGATAAATAACGATAATTGCCTTAAAAAGAAATTGCCTTAAAAAAAAATAAACATTCGCGGTGATTTTGTCTTGCATTCGTTTATACAATTATTATATACGAATGACCCGGGCAACGCCCGGGTTTTACCCAATTAAATGCTTTTGTTCAAATACTATTCGTTACAATTATAAATTGGCGCCGTGGATTTCATTCTTGTATAATATATAAATGAGTTTTAAAAATTGTAAAAAAAAAAAAAATGCATCGGCCGGGAATCGAACCCGGGCCGCCCGCGTGGCAGGCGAGCATTCTACCACTGAACCACCGATGGTTATGAAAAATCCCATCCGTGAGCTTCAGACAAACAGACAGACAGAATAAGGCAAATATATAAGTAGATACGAATGACCCGGGCAACGCCCGGGTTTTACCCGATTAAATGCTTTTATTCAAATACTATTCGTTACAATTATAAATTGGCGCCGTGGATGTCATTCTTGTATCTACTTATATATTTGCCTTATTCTGTCTGTTTGTTTGTCTGTTTGTCTGAAGCTCACGGATGGGATTTTTCATAACCATCGGTGGTTCAGTGGTAGAATACTCGCCTGCCACGCGGGCGGCCCGGGTTCGATTCCCGGCCGATGCATTTTTTTGTTTTTTTACAATTTTTAAAACTCATTTATATATTATACAAGAATGACATCCACGGCGCCAATTTATAATTGTAACGAATAGTATTTGAACAAAAGCATTTAATCGGGTAAAGCCCGGGCGTTGCCCGGGTCATTCGTATATAATAATTGTATAAACGAATGCAAGACAAAATCACCGCGAATGTTTCTTTTTTTAAGGCAATTTCTTTTTAAGGCAATTATCGTTATTTATCGTTAATTTTTGTTTCGATTTTATTGAAAAAAAAAACGATATGGTGCCTTTAAAAAATGATCTTTATTACTATGCAGTTTTCTATTTAGTCAATATACCTAAGTTCATGTTGCAAATCTAATTATCTCTATCGATTTAGTAGGTGAAATGCAAAAAAAAAAAAATCGACATGATATAATCTTTATGAAAATTCACATTTTTATTTTTATATTTTCAAGACACACACAGTTTGGGGCGGGACGTTTCACAAGAGAGACATCCACGGCGCCAATTTATAATTGTAACGAATAGTATTTTAATTAAAACGTTTTAAAAACACACAGTTTGGAACGCGACGTTTCACAAGAGTGACATCCATGGCGCCAATTTATAACTGTAACGAATAGTATTTGAATTAAAACGTTTTTAAAATATATATGCACTCGGGTAAAACCCGGGCGTTGCCCGGGCCATTCGTCTAGTAATATATAAATGAGTTTTAAAAATTGTAAAAAAAAAATGCATCGGCCGGGAATCGAACCCGGGCCGCCCGCGTGGCAGGCGAGGGCAGGCGAGCATTCTACCACTGAACCACCGATGGTTATGAAAAATCCCATCCGTGAGCTTCAGACAAACAAACAGACAAACAGACAGAATAAGGCAAATATATAAGTAGATTTTATCAACTATATTAATTAAATCAAATACCTAAACACTAATATAATACAATTTTTGCCATCACACACATTTTTTCCCTGTAGTTTATGTGTTACTTCTGTATTGCTATTCTATGGCACTTCTAATATTTATTATTGATGTACTTTCAGTATGAAGGAAATTGCAATCGGGGGAATTCTCGGGCGAAGCCGGGTCATACGTCTAGTAAATAATATAATTAATTTAAAACAGTTTTTTATTCTATAACTTTTTTTTTATAAGAGCACTCAGATAAAAAATCCACTCAGGGAAAATCCAAGAGTTGCACAGGTCATTTGTTTAACCCGGCATTGCGCGCGCCTGGTGAAAATTACCCATGGCAACATTCGAGTGGAAAATTAACCAATGAAAAATTGGCTGGCGGAGATGTGGTTTCGTTTAGCTTCCTGACTCATCATCTAGTCTAAAGTTTTGGTTTCACATTTTGAAAGCTGCCACTGATATTCCATATATTGGCACTGTCGGGTAAAAATCACCCGATGCGCGCACTCACGTAATTATTTGATAAATTATTTTTAGAGAGAGAAATAATTCGAATTAATAATTTGAAAAATAACTATAATAGGTTGATATATTTATCAGCCTATAATTCTATCTAAAATGGAAGGAAGAAGCTCATATTTAGTAGTTCAAAAAGAGATTATTGTAGAAAGTGATATTGAAGAAGATCTAAGTGATAATTTTTCTGGAAGTGACACTGGAATATATTCAGATATGGAACTTTTGTGGAATAAAGGAATTACCCCAAAAACACATTTTTATATAGGGAGAGCTTCGAAAACCAAATGGTCCAAAATTTGTCCCTCACAAACAGTAAAGACAAGAGCGCATATGTCATTACACATTTACTAGGCTTGAAAGGTGAAGAAGCAAAAAATTAAAATACACCTTTAGAAGCTCTTTAGAAAGAAAATTCTTGAAATGTTTGGCCTTTGAACTCATCAAAGAGTAACTAAATCAAAGAAAAAACATTTCTTCACTGCCAAGAGGACTAAGTAGAAAAACCCCTTTTTTTACAGATAAGTTAATTGAAATCATAAATGTATGCTCTAAATATTTAGTTCAATTCATTTTTAGAAGTCACTACAAGCCATCAAGAAGGTCAGGAACCGCAAGATAAAGCTTCCTACCAGATGTAGAGTGTCCCTCCAGTAGGGACTGGAAGACCCCGACTTTGTGCCATCAATGTACAAAGCCAATTTGTGAAGGACATACAATTGCGGTTTGCAATGATTCTATATAGTTTGTTTTAATTGTCCTCGTGGAATTTTATATTTTTAATATTGGAAAGGAGCGATAGATTATTATTTTATATACCACTGTCAATTATGAGCATTATTCAAGAATAGTTTTTAAAATGTTTAATCTGTGTAAAAAATAAAAATATTTTATTAAGAATTACCTTTTTTTGAAAATTAAAATGTTGTTACTTTGAAATAGAAAAGGTTTTGTTTTTCCTCAGATAAATTTATGTTCAAATTACATAATTATAATATCGGGTATATTTCACCCAGCGCGCGCAAGTACGTTACATTTTTAGCGCGCGCGCTCGAGGGTTAATTTATACATAAAAATATTAATTATGCCTTTATTATTGATAATTTGTTGTAATGTTGAGAACTTTAATTCTCTATTTATAGTTCTTTATAAGGTATTCTTAAGTTTTAATATAAATGAGGTATTAGTGTATTGCTAAATGCATTGATGGAATAATTGCCAAACATATTGTTAAAAATCCAATTTGGTTAAACCATTTGTGAAATAAACCCTTAATTAGCATTTTAGGTGTGACAAATATATTTCTATGTCGATTTCAGCATTTAACGACAATGTAAACCCAATAATTAGTTTCAGACGTTGTTTCGTTCACTTATTAGATGCAAAATAATAATAATAAAAACATGATTTCGAAAAGGTCAAAATAAATATTTTATCTATTCATTATAATTTTATTTAATGCAGGTGATGCGTATGTTTATTAAAATTATCCATGACATACCTGCACCATTACTCCCAAACGCAATTCTCCTTTATCAATTTTCTCTTTGCACTTTTTACATGAAGACATCTTACTCTTAGCATATTCTGCTGTATATGGAAGATCTTTAGATCCTACTATTTCCTCGGACATCTTTATTTAATTTAATATATATATAAATTTACACGTGCGAAAGACCTAACACCTTAGACATATAGCAAGTAGCATTTAAAATAAAAACAAGGAACAGGTTGAAACCCGCCTGTTTTGATTAAAGTAATATTCTGTGGAAAAATAAGTCCTGTTTTCTTTGTTCATTTATTGATATAATTTATAGGTTTTTAACTTTTAATTAGACAATTTATATTTAGACATTTTTCATTTTAATTTAGAAACTCTCATTTTTATTTAGACATTATCAATTTTAATTTAGATATTTTTCATTTTAATTTAGACACATGGACTTTTTTTTATATAATCTTTAAGACACTTTAAAACACAACTATGACAACACTAAATATAATATTAGAATATTATCGCCTTATTTCTGACAATTTTAAAATTAATAGAGGCTTGTATCAATCAATATCAAAAGGAAAACAGTAAACTTTAATCAAGTTGGTATGCTTACAAGAGGAAACTATGCAAAAGCTTCTAAGTTATTGAACATCAATTATAGTTTTGCTATGAAAATTTATAAAAAAAATAAGGCTAATCAAAATTAATAAATAAAGAAGGATTTAGACAGAAAAAATCCATTAAGCTATTTATATTTTATTTTGAAGAGTATATACAAATTAATTCTAGTATAACTTTAAAAAATATTAGAGATGAATTGAAAAATATTTTAATCTAGAAGTGTTCAAACAACAATAATCAATGCAATAAAAGAGTTTAAAATAACCCTGAAAAAGTCATCTATTGAATTGATCAACATAAAATCAGATGAAACTAAGCGAAAAAGAAAAGAAGATGCGGAATTGTTTATTAATAACTAGCGGATGTACCCGGCTACGCCAGGGTTTTACCCAAGTAAAGGTTTGTCTAACGAATCTCTCGATAAAGTGAACATTTTTCCGGTCCCTTGAAAAATACTCGATAAGTTGAATAAAATCAATATTAATTGGTTCTCTCGGTAATTGGAAGTTAAAGGAATAGTATCTTGCATTGGAATTGTATCATTATTCTTGTCTCAAATAAATTGCCGTTTCATCCTGAATTTTGCTTTTCCTAATTTTCTACATTACAAAATCATCATTTTATCTATTCTCCCAATATATATGTTGTAGATAAATGATGAAACTAACTTTGACTTGTGCGCAATTAATAGGTAGAAAATCTTACTTTTGATAAATAATCTTTAAGATAATAAACTTAGTGATAATAAAACTTATAGATAAAAAACTTGTTATCATCGTCGCAATGGGGGCGCTGCTTGCGAGTTAAATCTACAAATCTGCAAATAACTCTAAGGATACTCAAGATATTCAAGAAATTATTTTTCAAAAATCTTCCTGGGGATATGCCTAATAATATGCCAAAATTTCAAGGCGATTGAATGTATGGTTTTTGAATCTATAGAGTACAAACATACAGACAGACATTCAATTATATATATATATAGATTTGAATTAAAATTAAATTATTTGTTAAGTTTAATTTTTATTTTTATTTTTTTAATTAAAATTGAAAGGCTTGAATTTTTGAAACTGAGTTGATGAAACATATTTTATTATCCTGCAACTTTCCTAGAAAATTCTAGCATAAATCAACAACGCGTGTTGCTTGGGAGTATAGAGAAAATGTAAAATGGTAAAAATAATTGAAAATATTATATAAATTTAGAATATATATAGATTTAATATATTATTTTTTTAAAATATCAACGAAAATAATAAAAATAACATTTTGTGAAACAGATTAAAAGTTTTGAATATATTGCATTTGTTAATAAATACCTATTTTCATTTGTATATTTTATTCTTGCTGTATTATCTCTATTGCTGACATAGTTGAATCAACTCAGGGAAGAAACTTTCAGTTATTCAAATTTCGATATTTCATTTAGATAAATTTTTAAAATTATGTCAAGGCACCAGAGCCCAAAAGAAGGAACACAATTAGTAAAGGCCGCGATTAAAGGCGACATTGCTAAAATAAGAAAATTACTAGATAAAGAGGTAGGCGGTGTTAACGCAGAGGATTTAAGGGGCAACACTCTGTTACATATTGCTGCATGGAAAAATAATATTGAACTATGTCGTTTTTTAATAAATGCTGGTGCAAATATTGATGTATTCAATAAAAAACGACTTACACCTCTTTTTATGAGCATTTTAAGAAACCACTTTGAAATAGCAAAATATTTAATTAAATGTGGAGCTAATTTTGCTTTGTTATATGAAAAACGTTGGGCTGCTTTTGAGTTTGTTGGGAATTTCAAATTATTCAAGCTTTTAATTAAAAAGGGAGCATACAGTAAACTCCCTTTTCATGCAAAGGCAAAGACACTATTACATTTCTCTGAGAAGTCTTCAAAATTTTTAAAATATTTATTAAAATATGTAGGAGATGAACTTAATTATATGCGACCATACTTTGGCCCTTTAAATGCAGCAGTTATTTCGGGAAGATATAAAAATGTTAAATTGCTAATAAATGCTGGGATTGATTTAGATCGTAGATACGGTTTTAGAACCACTATTCTCATGTGTGCTCTTTTAGAACCTAACATTGAAATTATACAGTTATTCATCAAATTAAGCGTTAACTTGAATTTAGTAGATAAAGATGGTATTACAGCATTTGAGCAAGCATATATGTTTGATAGGAGTGATGCTATGAATGCTCTTAGAGAAGCAGGAGCTGATGTTAATTTCAATAATTTTGGAAAATTATATAATTCG